GCCACAGCGCTCGGCCTCCTCCCCCCCCCTCACACCTGCTGCCATGTGTCAGCCAGTGCCGAGTCCCACATCTTGGGGGGCCCGGAGTCCCACACCTTGGGGGGCCTGGGGTCAGCGTGGCCGCACTGGGGCCACTGCCTCAGCGTGGCTCCTTGCCAGCATCCTGGTGGCTTCCCTGTCCGCAGCAGGGGGCACCTGGGTGGGACAGCAGAGGCTGTCACCTCGCTCCGCATTGGCCCTGAGCGTTCACCTCCTGCCTGGGTCTCCGCCTCACGTCCAGCTCTTGTCGCCTCTCCTGCCACCACCTGCTGGGCCTCGGCCACCCCTTGGTGCCAGCGATGCACCGACTCTGCCTGTGCACCTTGCTCTGAAGGCATCTTTCCTTCCGTCAGCACGCCTCGGGGCTGGGCATCCTCTCTGGGCGCTGGGAGGGGAGGGGAAGAGCCCCCTTGTCCCCCGGCCGCCATCGCACACCTGCTGGAACCGTGCCCTCCGGGGCCCTTCTCCCTGTCATTCCATGGCAACAGGAAATCATTTTGGTTTCTCTCCTTCCTGTCAGCTGGGTCCAAGGCTGGTCTCAGGGCTGCTGTTGATAACACTGTCGAGCAACACAGACCCACGCTCGTTTTCTTTTTCCCTCATCCCATTTCTCTTTTTCTTTCTCAACCTCTGCGCTGCCACTTTAATGTATCCACCTGCCCAAGCGCACAGGGCCAGGCCGGGAGCACTGCCTTTTGGGTTTCTCACTGTCAATGCTCCCGGGGATCAGAGTTTTGTGTTGGTTTTTTTTGGTAACAATCAGCTCCTTTTCATTAAGAAGTTTTTCTGGATGAGGACCTGCTGCTTCTCCACGATTTCCTTCCTCTGGCCCGAGCTGAACGCCTGCCTGCTTCCAGCAGCCTGTCCCTGTCCTCTGCAGTGCCTGGGACACTCTCTACCCAAAGCCATCCACCAGCAGTGGGGAGATTTTCTGTTGTGGGGAAACAATTGTTTGGTTAATTTAACTGCAAAATGGCTACAGAAAAAGGTCATGCTATCTCTAATAGAGTTTTTCACAGGAAAAGGGCAGTATGAAGGAATTAATGGAAAACAGTGTTTAAGGTTAGAGCCATAAAGCTCACAAGAAATACAGAACCATAGAATGGGTTGGGCTGGAAGGGACCTTAAGGATCACTTAGTTCGAACCCCCCGCCATGGGCAGGGACACCTCCCACCAGACCAGGCTGCTCAAAGCCCCATCCAACCTGGCCTTGAACACTTCCAGGGAGGGGACGTCCACTTCTCCAGGCAACCTGTGCCAGTGCCTCAGCCCCTTCACAGAAAAGAATTTCCTCCTAATATCTAATCTCAATCTACTGCCTTTCTATTTGAACCAGTTACCCACTGCTCTATCACTACACTTCCTAATGAAGAACCCCTCCCCAGCTTGCCTGTAGCCCCCATCAGGTACCAGCAGGCTGCTGTAACATCTCCCCAGAGGCTTCTCTTCTCCAGGAGCTTGTCCTCCTTGGGGAGGTGCTCCAGCCCCCTGATCACCTTCATGGCCTCCTCTGGACTCACTCCCAACAGGTCCATGCTGTTTTTATCCCAGATAATCTTCAAATTAGCTGAGTTGTTACTTTTTGTAAGACTGTTATACAACAGGTCCATGCTGTTTTTATCCCAGATAATCTTCAAGTTAGCTGAGTTACTTTTTGTAAGACTGTTACACCTCCAGGAATATTACACCTCCAGGAACTACTTTCCCTCTCACAGAGGATATTTAACAGAAGGATTAAGAATCAGCACAAGAGTAATTAAATACTTTATTTATTTTTCTTTAATACAGTATTTCCTTCCCCACAGATGAATAAAAAGAATCACGCATAAGACATTATTAAAGAGCTATCAAAATACGGTGCAGCTGAAGTTCCTGCTTCTTTTGGAAGACAAATCTGCTTTAGTATTAAATTCAGAAACATTGCAGCTGCCCTCAGAATAACAAGCCTGTTTTTCCCCAACCTAAATATCCACAATAGATCCAAGGCACATATTGTATTGATTTTCTGAACGGATTTTAAGATGGTACTCAGAACAGAAATATACCACATCAAAAGTATAAGAAGTATTATTTGAAAGTTTATTAACGATAAGGGCAGATTAGCCTATTGCCAGAAGGTGAGTTTTTTTACTGGTGGAGATCAGAGTTTTGATTTCCTCTGAAAGAAGCTGGCAATAGCATTTACACATTCATCGGATAACCACCTCTCTTTCAGGACTTCACACTCTTTACTGTTGACCTCATGGAGCTTCTCTTTTTCCAGACTTCGTAACAGTTGCTTCGACACTGCCAAGGTCTGGAGGAGAAAGAGAGGAACATTAACAAGTTATGCTTCCTACACTTCAATTTAATGTTTCAGAAAATAGCACAATAAACACACTGGAATTCAAACTAAGCTGCATTAACACCAGACTTTTTAGCTTTTAGTTAACCTTTTTGCCGGAATTTAATTATTGCCTCTAATTCCTAAGACTGTTGAGAGGGTGGAGGAGGTTCATGGGAAGCGAATCAGCAGTCCACCCAGTGCTCGTGATCGGAATGGATGGGCACGAGAAACCTGCTTAACTGTCTGCAGCGCCAAGCACCACCCACACTATCAGCAGTTGGCACAAGTGTCTCCTGTTGCTCACAGTAACAACACCGCTGTTACTCAAGAGGTTTTGCAAAGTCTCAACCAGCGAGCAGAGCTCAGCAAGCAGTAAAGCCACCCAGTGCAATCCTGAGCACCTACAGTGCACACAGGACAGCTGATACCGTCAAACCAGCGGTAAGGCTCTTTAAACTATAAAAAAATAGAAATCTGCAGGTGGATTAATTTAGTTTTTGAGGCTTTCCAGCCATTGAATCTGTGTACAGTGCACTGTCTTGGATTCAGTCAGGATAGTAGATAGGCATCTGTTTGCCCCCTGCATAGGGACAAATCTGTGCTTGAAGCAAAATATATTGACCCTTGCTATTTTGATTAAGAATGATACCAAGTAAGAGAATAGGTTTGTCAGGAGAACAGAGAATGCTAGAGGCTCACAAGGTCAAGAAAAATTTAAAATACTGACATTTTTGGGGAGGTTTGCATAAGCTTCTAATCTCGCCCAAACTTCCTTCTGAAAAGTCCTGTCAGGGAATACTTCAGTCACAAGTCCCTGGGCACAGGCTTCTGCTGCAGTCAGCTTTTTGTTGAAAAGCAACATCTCGTTTGCCTATACAAAGAAAAGTAGAAGGCATGATTCAACAAGACACAAGATTTGAGCAATCCAACAGGAGAGGTACAAGCTTCCAAGTCACATTGATTTTCCTCTCTTGCTCATTAATGTCTCTGCCCTGTGGAAAGAACACAGAATAGATGAGGTTGGAAGGGACTTTGAGAAACTGTACAGTTCAAACTCACTGCTCAAGCACAGCTGGAACAGGCTGCCCAGGACTATGTCCTGATGGGTTTTGAGGATGAAGGCACTTCTCCAACGATGAAGACTTCACAGCATCTCTGCACCTGTTCCCGTGTTTCACCACCCTCACTATTATTTTTTTTACATCTAGATGGAATTTCTTGTTTCAATTTGCACCTCTTTCCTCTCCCCTCTTACAGCTGGAGGATACCAACACCCAGAGGTCAGATGGTCCCACATACAGTGCAGACATTTTTACCTTAGCTAAGCCCATGATTTTTGGAAACAAGTAAGAAGAACATCCTTCCATGGTCTGTCCAAGCTGACTAAACGGGCTGTGAAACGTAGCCTACAAAAAAGAAAAAAAAACAAACCAAAGAAACCTCACAACAGAGCATGGGACTGAAATACTAGGGCTTAGTTTTCATTTTAAGGTTTCTACTGTGATAGAGTTGACCAGAAATACACCTGAACTGTTACCATAACGGGCTTTAAACACCTTCCAGTAACTCTCAATGCGCTCAAGAGCTGACTTTGTACAATTCAGTTCTGTTACTGTAACAACTCTACGAATGAAGTTACCTTATTTGAACACAGCACTTAGAGAAACCAATTTGCATGTGCAAAATCTCTACAGAAAGGATGTTCCACATGCATCTGCTCTTTAAAAGGTATTAAATGCATAGCCCAAAGAACTTAAGAGGTGATGAGCATTTTGCTTTTTGAAGGCACACTTAGTTTATACTAATTCCAAAAAATTCAAGCCACTGAATCTTCTTTCCTCAAATTTTATGCAAATTTAAAAAGAATCTGTGGCAGAAATACATCATGGAATCCTACAAAACAATACCCTAATTGCAAGTTAGAACTGAACTACAGAATTCTATGTTTTGACAACTTGTATCCACTTTAAGCAAGGAAGACAAAACGCCTGCTTTTATTTCAGCTGAAAAATATAAACTGATACACAAAGAATGCAAAAGTTGCTAATGCAGCTTTCACTGCAACAGAAGGCAATCACCTCCTGCTGTGCTACAGGAAGACAGATCAATAGACTTCTTGGCAAGAAACTCACATCTATATCATTGTAAGAAAAGATCAGACATCTACCAGGATCCAGACTAGCATTGGTCATGCTTAAGCAAGAAGAAATTAACTACACCAGGGCTACAACCCCATGAACTGGAGCAAAATCCAGGGCAGAAGGCCTGTAAACACGGCTGGTAATGATCTGCTCTGGGAATACCTGGCTAAGAATAAAACCAGATCCCGGATATGGCAAAGCTGGCCACTTCTGGAGTGGGTAGTCAATGCCTAACGCGCTTCAGCCAAACCACTAGAGACTAGAAAATTAAGTAGCAATTTGGATGAAAATGACCTAACTGCAGGAAAGTTCACAATCCTGGAAAAGGAAGGACAGAGAACCATCGCCTTTGAGAAGGCTTCAGTTCTCATGAAGAATAAACTGAGTTATAAATACATTAAAAAATAAGCCACGTAATGGGATTCCGTGCTATGCTTTGATACAGTTTTTGGTTATGTCTTTGGCAAGTTACCTTAAAAGGAATCTTAAGCCGAACAGGCCAAAGCTCTTCTGAAGTTAACTTGGTACACAGACCAGATAAAATGTCAGTTACTGCACTTCCATAACAAAATAAGGTTTTGCTCCCCCTGGCACACCTGAAAGGGGCCCTATAGCCATCGCTGCACACCAGCTGCTCTTTACTGAACCCACCGATACAGTGAAGAGCTTCTGACCTGGAGTAACTCGATAATCGCAACTACAGCAGGGAAATTCCACGCGTGGTAACCACTGGCTGATGTACCCCTGTGCTAGTAATTCGTAGAGGTTTTCCTTCACAGGCTATAAAAAGTCTTCACACTTGTGTGGTCTGTTCTGTCAGATTCTGTAGCAAACGTCATTTGCTTTAGGAAAAAAGAGGTTTAAAGACTGCCTTGGGATCAGCTGCGTAACATACTTACTCTGTCAGAAGCATAGACAAGGTCACACAACCCAAGGACTGTGACACAGATTCCAATAGCTGGGCCATTTACCACCGCAATCAGTGGTTTAGGGAAATCAATAAAATGACTCACAAACTCTCTAGAGAGAAAGAAAAACAGAAGGTAAGACAGGCATCCTATTTTCTTTTTCATCAAAAATAAACAGCTTTCAAAACACGATTAGATACCACATAAGAAAAAAAGAAACTAGATTCTATGTAGTTTATGCGTCTTTTTTGTATCCTTTCCCAAATGAATTCTGACAAAGAATATAAGAATCATCTGCAATACCTGCATTTCCTTACCAGCTAAAAATCAAACACGGACATGTCAGGACACATTCCCAGTTGCTGCAATCGAGCTGTGAAAAGCAGTGTCTGCAGTGACTGAAGACAGCTCACGGAGAAGAACAGTCCTTGGCCCTGTCCATCCATCTGCCTCTACTTCCACTCCAGCCCCTTCGTGGGAGATCTATTCCCTTCATTGATCCTGTTCTGCAGCACCAAACTTGGGATGCTACTCCAGCACTGAATTCCCTAGCGCTGCTCTGCACCAGTTGGAGAAACAGCATTTTCTTTTCTTTGACATCTACTTTTCCATCCAAGAAGCGCAAAATACATTCTCAAAACACAGTATTTCTCAGAAGCGCACAGAGTTGTAAAACGTCCACCTCTCTGGCATCTCCATGCACCAGTTTGTAATGAAGCCCTGTGCTTGTGGGATAGGAACAGCGCGGCAAACAAGGGCAAGTGTAGAGTTTTGCACTTG